GCAGCCCGCACCGGTCGTTGAGCATCTGCAGTTCCACATTCATTATTCCGATGAACAACCGACCTGTTCCACAACATTCGTTACACTATCATTTACAGGAATCATTCATGCATGCGTTGAAGTCCTCTGGGCCCACCATTGTGCTACAATATGATTGGACGCGACTACATTGGGCCCAATCACGGAGCACCAACATTGAATGTCATAATGGAATTCGACCGTAGCAAAACCCCGAAGGAGAGGTCAGAAAGGAAAAAAGCGAGAGCATGTTTTGGAAAAGTTAAAGTCGGGGTGACGGGGGGAAGACCGTTCTCTGGCCCCACCCGGTCCCGGATATTTCTAAAAGGAAATCTCGTCCCTTCCAATAGTTCTAATTTGGGAGCATATTTCTAAAACCCGATTCTCGGCCTGCTATATTGAGCGCTGCCCGCCGTCAATGAATGGTCTGGGTGGCGGCTTGGAATTCGGGACCGAAAGTACGGGCTGCCCGTGTAGAGAAAGCTCCGTGAGGGAAGGGTCTGTGGCGAACGTTGAATGCATGAGTGCCGGCCGTCGAAAAAGCACATCCTGCTGGGAGAAAGTGGGATACAGGACCACAAAAAGGTACTTTTAAAGTTTACCTGCATTGCAAAGTCTCCCCTCCACAAAAAAATTAACGAGTAATCTTCGTTTCATTGAGACAATGTAAAAAATGACTATCTAAGTGATATCTCATGTTGATTAAGGCTGAAAACTCTAGAAGAAAATAATTAAATAAATAAATAAAAATGGTCCATATGTCTTGTACACTGATCTCATGTGCTAAATAATGAACAAATAAATCACTTTTTTGTTTTGATGTTATTGATGTTGGAAGACATGAAATTCATTTCTTTTTAGCTTTATTAAATTTCAAAAGAAGAAGAAGAAGAAAATAAACATTTATTAAATAAATTTGATGAGCTTAATGATGATAATATCAATGATTGACACCAACTTTTTGGAATTAAAGATATCATACATGTGCAAAAGTTTATATATTTGTGACACGTTCTCAAATTAATCTTAAATTAGTTTCGGTTTATTTTGACATGTAATTATGTTTACACATAAAAGTCTTGATTTTAATCTGTTGAATAGAAAATCGTTGCCCTTTTTCTTTATATATATATATATATTTTTTCTTTCTCTTCCATTGTATTATCACCTTGAAACATTTTCACTAATAACTAGGTATCTTTATTTTAAAAATGTTCACCATAGTTGTATAGTAATTCTTAGTTTAAGTTTTTTTATTTGTATTTAATGTGTTACACACACCTCCACAGTTTTAAATGTGAATTACATTGTAAAACAACATAGCTCACAATGTAGGTTCAGTCATGCAACATATAACTACACACTACAATAACAATAACTTTTCAATGTTGTAATATATTTGAATGCAACACTTATCACCAAAACTAATAATTCATGTGCATTACTTCACCATGAAGTGAAACCAACCTATATTATTGACATATGAAAATCACGTATGAATGTGTGTGGAATAGTGTCATCTACTATCAAATCAGCTTATTGTGGTTTGACATTTAAATTAAAGAACGGTAGATTATACTTTTTTAATTGTCTTTTTATTTTGAGATTGTCTTTTGTTGAAATAAATAAAATCAACTTATTTATATAATTCTAACATGCTGCAAAATTTTCACCAGGATTTTCTTTATACAAAGTAGCATCTATGTAAACTTGTGTTACATAATAAAATTTCTTGATAATCTAGTGTACTTAATGCTCAATCCTAGTCCTGAAAGTTGCAAAGAATATGAATTATTACCAAGTTGCAAAGAATTAGGCCTTATAACACACACCACAAATTTGAAATCACTGAGATTGAAGTATTAATAGAACAAATATGTGTTCAATTTGTTGGTCAAACACACAAGCAAATAATTGTCTTCAGAATCATACATGGTTGCTTGGTCTCCATTTTTCAAAAGAATAATCCGTATTTTAACATTGAGAATGAAAAGCTATTTTTTCTCATCAGAGGAATGGGTCAATGATGTGTTCAAGTGCCCTTCAATTCAATTTTTTGTTTGAAATTGGCTATTCACTTTACTAATATGTATTATGTGTGTGTGTGTGTGTATATATATAGATTTTTTTGTATGAAAGTGCATTGAATATGTACCTTTTATTCAGGAGAGATTACCAAGCAACAAAAAAGGTAAACAACAAATACAAAGTTGAAAAATAGCCAACATTTGATGCAGAGGATTAAAGAGTTTCATTCGTTCATTCGCTCATCCTCCCATGCTCTGGAATGTATTCTAGATATTTCCATACAAAACATATTCACAGATACAACCTACTATGGCACAAAATGCTGGAAACCTTGTTTCATTAATCAAACGAAAATATCAGTGGAATAACAATTCATTATACATATGTATATATTATCTTTTGGAGGTAAGGCTTTGTTCAACACAACATGAACATAAACCACATAATCTTTTTCAATCTAAATGATTTTACTTGTAGGGTTGCTAAGAAACAAAGTCTTTGTAGACAATCTTGAATGACTTTGATTTTTATTTTAAAAAATCTATGTTGCATGGAATATGAGTGAAAGTAAATAAATGAATAAATAAAGGTTATAACAAGTATAGGTCATGGGTGTGATTTCATTCTTAGTCAGATTCTTTATGGATTAAAACAAATCAAATCTTTGAACTGATTATGACAATATTTGTGTTTCAAAACAAATGAACATTTTACAAAAGATTTGACAATCAATAATGGGCTTGGTTGGATATGGTTGGTTGTTCGCCTTCCCCAAAATTGTGCAAATGTACATACACATGTTATTATTATTTTTGTTATTGTTGTTATTACTCAATTTGAGATTTAGTGACATTTTTGTGGAAATATTACAAAAAATAAAAAGAAAAAGAAAAATAGACATGAGTATCTATTGAAAATCAAGATCAACTACATGAACATGTTTTTGAGTAAATTTCATCATAAAAATAAAACACACAATGCCTTGAATACTAAATTAAAGATTTATCAGAAAAGTAATCCAAAGAGTACTAATCTTGATTACAAAAGATACCACCAAGATGTTTAAAACATGTGTGATAATGTTCTTAATGCAAATACGAAATACTGTTATATTAGCTCTAAATGTGTTATTCTGTGATGATTTAAAGCAAGGATGTTGTCATTTGAACCCTCCTCCTAAACAAAGAATCAAAATTTTTGTGAGTTCTGGATGCACCAAAGAATGCATTTTCAACATTCCAAAGACTTATTCAAACACAAAATAAATACTGCCACTTATCAAGTCAAGCATTCACACGCATATTCACAAATTAATTAATTAAATAAGTAAATAAATTCAAATGTATGTATGTGTGTGTGTATATATATATATATATATATATATATTCAAACACACACGCACACAAACACATCTCTTATGCAAGCAAGACCCTTGCGTGCAAATGTCCATATGTGTATAAACTATATGTAAATATAAATATATTTATAAACTAGCAGAAACCTGTGCTATGGTGCACAGCAACGATCTTTGGCAATGCTATCCATCCACCCACTTCCTCATTCCTCCATGTTCCATATTCCCCATGTTTGGCCAATGAGAAGACTTCTTTGTCTCATACCCAAGTTGTATTTGTCAATAGGTTCAAATATAGCCCCATTCACACCGCCCTTCATGTCGACAAGGCAATACCGACGTGTCGCGCGACGAGAGCCCCCGTGACAGTCTCCGCCTCCGCAAACGAGCATTTCGACGCACGCGACCACAAATTACGTTGTAGATCCGGCAGATTCCCCCCCCCTCCCCCCCACGGCATTGGCAGATTTAGCCCCCTAAGCTCTAAGCTCTGCATGCAAGCAGGTAGGGCATGAATTGCTCATCACTGCTCTGCTGCGGTGATGATGGTGAAATGCTCGGCAATGCAAGGCAATACATCCCGATGCTTCCTGATTCTCGTTGTTGCTATTCTAGATCCATACCCTATTCTGGCGGATTTTGTATGTGTCTTCAACTTGACTCCATGGCACTGTTGACTTTGAATCAAGGGGGACGATGGGCATTCATGAGATTGCAGCTTTGAAGCATCCATTGTTGCTGCAAATAGCCAACCCTCTGTTGCAGGGAAATTTGGAACAATGAAGCATGAAGACGAAGAAGGAAAAACGGAATTCTACTCATAATTAGGGTTTTAGGTGGAGCGCCAAGTGGGTTCCCACCCTTATGGCTGCTTTCGAAATTCCTCGCCGTGGTATGGCTTCTCTGGGAGTTGAGAAGGGGGTTGGGCTAAAATTGGGCATGACGGGGAGCTTGTGATGGGAAATGGAGCACCCTGGTTTGTTGGGTTTTTCGTGATCAGGGGTACATACTGAATTTGCTGGCGGGGGTGGTTCTTATTTAGTTGTATGTTTGTGGGAGGTGCTTTTATGAAGCCCAGGTTTGGTGGCGTGTGACGCAGCAGCTAAGAGCGTAACGTAAAGAAAGGTTATGAGGTGACTTAAGCTGCCTTCTTATCCTGCGATAAAAAATTGAGCAAGCTCATAAAAAATTTATCAAGCAGGGAGTGTTTTTTTTTGTTTAGTTTATCACCCCCTTCCACAGAAGTAGACCCGAAGTTCGGAATTTTTGGTCGGAAATTTGTCATCAACGTGACGCGGAATCTGAGATGATATTGTTCGATCCATCGAGGGGAGTTGGAATTTGGACCCAGGGAGTGGGGAACCCAACACGAGAATGTGAAGCTTGAGCCCTGATTTAAGACCCCACGCGTGGCCCTGGTGAAAAAGTAAGACGACACAAATCACGGCCTCTCTGGCTCTTGACCCCTCGATTGTAAGTCTTCGCCGCTGTTGCGGGTGTTGCGACTCTGGGCCCCAGCCTCATGAGCCTCGGACCCACCTCCCTCTCTTTCTACCTGCTCCAGTAGTACATCTACCACCCAGCCCTGCCATGACCAGCCCTGCCATGACCAGCCCTGCCATGACCAGCCCTGCCATGACCAGCCCTGCCCCGGCCCCTATCGCAAGGCATCTAGTGGGAGCTCGTCGTGGCCCTGCTGCTTCCCCATATGACCCCTTGTTTGCAAGCCATTGTCCTCCCCTTCTCCCCCTACAGTGTTTTAGCGTGCTGTGCATAACTCTACAAGTTCCTGTCTGATAAAATCGGTTTTCTTCTTGCCCCTTTTCCCTTAGTTGCAGAACTAAAAAACTTTCCTTCTTCAGTTATTCTTCACCTTTGTTCATTCGTATCGGGGTCTCAGTTCTGGTGTGGAGCACGGGGAGCCGTGTTTTTTTTTGTGTGTGTGTGTGTGTGTGTGTGTGTGTGTTTTTGTGTGGATATCTGAGCTGATTGAGCGTGTACGTCTGTTCGTATTTGTCGGTTTTTTTTTAGATTTTTGTTACATAGAATGCATTACTTCCAGAGCTTGGATCGGATCGCGTTTGGGCTGAGTTGAGTTGCGGAGTTGGAAATCTGGGTCGTCGAGTTTTGGGCTTGGTTCTCGGTGCAGAGCTGGGGGTACTTATGTGTGCATACGCGAAGTGATAAATGAAATGTGAGTTTGTAGCACACGGAAGAGCTGGCCTCGGTGGGACGAGAACATTGCTGGAGTATCAATCAATCAATAGGTTGGGTTGAGTGAGAGTGAGGATATTTGAGCTCCATAGATCTGTTAAGAGAGTTTCGTGAGACGGGTCCCGAAGATCAATCGTAGGACGGAGCCAGCAATTGTACAGACGACACACAGCATGACAGGAAAGAGGCCCCGCGCATTGCCACGCACCCCCAGTCTGTCGCAGTTAGGTTCTGGTAACTTCTCCCAGGAGTTTTCGCCTCTACCGGAAAATCCTAAGGAAAAGCTCAAGCCCACTATCAAGGAGCCACCTTCTTGCGCCCCGCGCGTGGTCATTGGCTTTGATCCGAAGCCGCTGTCTGCACATGTTGCCTCTCCCATTGAATGTGGAGGCATTTCTCCGAAGTCTGCCCCCTGCTCGCCGTGTTTCCAGGACAAGGCCTGCTCTCCACGTTCTGTACTTAATAGTCTCTTCTCGCGCCAGCCGCGGTGTGTGAAGCCTAGCGATGGAGTTGGTTTGGGCATTGTACTCCACTCTCACATCTCCAATCCAGCTCCCGTTCTGGATGATATAAAAATTAGTGTAATCGACGGGCCCAATGAAACTGTTGATCACATTGCCATTCCTGTCCGCGACGCCATCAGTCCCCAGCGGCCTCGGGATATTTCAGACGTATCATCTCGACGCCATAGCCATCCCATTCCAACCCCGAGGATTAGCCCTTGCCGTTTCAGCCACAAGGCCGCCAACCACCCGCACCCTACAGACAAGCAAGTCACGAAAGGACCAAACCATCAAGTGGCGCGGCCGGTTCTCGCATGGATGGAGTCGGATGCTTTGAAGGTTGATCGCCGGGACACATTCCTTCTTGGAGCTTCGCCTGCGCGGGGTAGTCCCATGGGGGGAGAGGACACAGGTGGATTAGCTGCCACCACCACCCACTTTCTCGACATGTGCTCGTTTTGCAAGAGACATCTCCCCGAGGATAAAGATATATTCATGTATAGGTATGTTCGATGCTCTCAATTCCCCCTTGTACATCGTCTTTCTTAATACGTTAAACCAAGTCGGTTGACAGGATATTACATCGGTGGAGACGTTGGATGTTTTATTACTTTTTAATTGTTCCAACCCAAGGATCTGGAGATGATTGGTATGCTTGTCTGATCGATTGTTGCTTTTGGAATGCAGAGGAGACAAAGCTTTTTGCAGCGTCGAGTGTCGGTCTCAGCAGATGAATATGGACGAGCGAAGCAAGAACTGCTCCTCCTCCGCTTTGAAACGAGGGTCGGTGGTGCCCTCTCGGCGTGCCGTTGCTCCAGCATCCTCTGTTGCTGCAGCGTAGAAACACAATTTTGGTTACTTGTCTGCCCATGTCGGCGACATCGTTCGAGCTTCTATGGATGTATCGGAGCTGCGACGAAAACATGTACAGTGGCTGAATGGGCTTCATTTGCGGAGGTTCCATGTATACAGTACCACGATTGCTTGCTGGCTTGCTTGTGAGCGAGCAAAGCAGGGGCGGAGGGAGTATAAGGGAGGGAGGGAGCAGACGGCTAAGACTACATAATCCATTGTAGAGATGCAGTCACCATTTTATTTGTTTTGTTATATTTGAGGATGATACACTAAAAAACAGAAAAAATCGTGTAAAACGACACCAACCAACGATGACGACGCTGTAGATACATATGTACCGACGACTCCATTTCTTCCTTCTGCCGCGGACGTCTTGCTGGAAAAGCAATTTTGTACAGCAATGACATGCTCCTGGAGCATTCGGATCTTCTCCACGTACCGCTCGCAATTTTTTTCGTTTTTGTGTGGATCACTGGAAACAAATGAGGACATATATTTCTATGTCCTTCGAGGTTTGTTGGCAACGGAGTGGATTGAAACTGATGAGAGGTATTGTACTGGCTTGCCATCCTTCCACTGTCAACTCGGCGGAGTGTGTGTACACCACTTGCCAAATCATGAACACGGTTGACATGTAGTGAGAGATTAACTGGCACAAGATGATGTTATCTTAAGTCCCTCCATTGGAATCCCTGACCTGCACTGCTAGATTTCTCATTCTTCATGGAGGTTACTCACACATCTGGATATTAGAAGCTTGTAGGATTAACGACTGATGACAGACTTAAGTGCAAGCTTCGGTGACTTGGAAGCAACACGGACTGATATGGTAGGTCTTGGAAACAGGAACCTGTTTCTGGGGCTTTATTTTTTCACTGGACTATGTTTATGAATAAGGCCGACTTTCCAATGTGAAAGTTTGTTCTCGCCACTTTTTTTTTGTCTCAGTTGTATGCCTGGGTCTTCTCTCACCTCTGTTGTCTTACGTCTTCAAAGCATTTATTTTCTCTGCTCATGCTTGCAAGGCTTGCTCCACTGTTAAATGGACTGGGATGTATTATTTCTTTTCGTTTTATGTGTCTTTGCAATGGCTGCACAGGCAGTGTATATTTTAATGTGCCGATGTACATGCTCAATCTGTTCATGCTGATTCAATTCTTAATGGAGTACTATTTTGTGGCTCTTGACATGAGTGTACAGAAACATTCTTTACTGCTCAGATGCTCTCTACTTCTTTTCCTCCGCTTATCTGAAATGTGTTAGTTTTTGTGAACAACTAGAATTCAGATGTTACAAACGTCTGCTCATCTCACAATTAATGTTCTGGTCTTTGTACCCAATGAGAACTTTCTGGGGAGGAAACATGAAGATGTGGTAATGTGATTAGGTAATTGTTTTATTTTATTCCCAAAAGTGCTTCAACCAATGTTATACGTATACGAAATCGCATTAAACTTGTTTCTAAATTTAGATATTGTATTTATTGTGCACAGCTTGATAAATTCAAGGATTTATGAAGCAAAATTATTGTTAAATATCCACATCTAGCCACCCTTTGTAGTATACCGAAATTGTTTTAAGAAATTGCCTGGCTGTAGCAAAAGAATATTTCACAAGTCCATAGAAACCAAAATAATTCTTGCACAAAATTTTGACATTATTAAAAATTGATCAGTAAAACTCAAATCATGTACTAATAATTATTCAAGTTGTTAATATTATGTGTGTATTTACAATTTTTATCACTTCATAACAAAAGTTACATTATAATACGAAATTAGAATGAAATCAAAATCGTTATTGGCATTAAAGTTTTGTACTGAGTGAATGTTATATTGTTTGTAGAATATGTGAAATTTTGTTAGATTATGTGATTTTTGCTTTGTAATTGAAAACTATAAAATATCTGTTGCCGTCATCAATATTATATCAAAACCCTTATGCATTACATTCAAATATCACCCATGCAAATGTTGTGCACAATAGCGACATTCTTTTTACAAAAAGAAAAACAAACAAGCAGTAAATTAAAACAAAAAAAAACTACAATCATTTCTTCTACTATTACAGAACAAATACAAGCATTTATTTTTGGTAACATTCTGTAGGAATAATAGATAATAATTACAACACAAAACAGAATTATAATAAAAGTACTCTTCTACTTATCATAAGATTATTGACAGTTAGTTATTAAAATATATAGAAAGCGATATGGAAGGATGATCATTTTGTTTTAATTTACTCTATAATGTAACCAAAACTCACATGCAAAGGATAACCTATGTGAATGCACTAAGTATATTTAATCGTAGAAAATCGTGTTAAAATTAGTTTCTGCATACTCGTGAAGTTAAGGTTTCATACCACATTCATCTAATTTCGTGAAGATGTTCATCTTAGGTTGCACCTACCACTGATTTTTAATTTAGTTGCCTCCTTATCTTGAGAAATCATACTGGTTCTATTCGGAATTTGAAGAAAATCTCCACATCATTCAACCAAAAAGGAAACAAAATGATCTCACCAAAGAAAAATAAGACTCAATACATACAGCTAACATTTGATGAAATGGCACCGAAGTGAAGTTTGACATGTAAGAGTTAAATATTGTGAACTGGAGCTTGCGACGGACAATGTTTATCTCTGACTTCTTTGTACATCGGCGAATTTTTTACACCAAACTAAAACCAAAAATTAGCAGAAAGGCCTTGCTGCGAAGTAACTGTAATACCCATTGTTCAGTTCTAGTCAACGAATCCTTTGAGGATATCTCATTACTGCTAGTGACAAACATGAGTACACATAAAGACCTACTTAGTTATGATCCCACCCACAGCACGTCCCAAGCCTTCAAACATTATTGACTGGGAATAAGCACACTGAAATATATGCAGCACTATGGATCAAATGCTTGGAACGACATTCGAAAATAGGCATGCGAGAGCGAGTAAATGAGTACCTTAGAATGAATATGTTGGCTACAAAAAGTAAATTGGAGCCATTGCTCTACTGGGTCCAACATAACAACGAACTGTGAAACTGTGAACTGATGATTCAACTTCCCTGGGGGTCTGTCAGCAGAAGACAATGATATCCCACAAAGGAATAGCTTTCATCAGAGCCATGTAAGCGCCAGTGGGCACAGCTTGATGTTGCTTCTACGCCTCTTACGCTCCTACGGTATGAAAAATGAATCTTACACTATCTCCGTCGCAGCACATGGATGCCCACGGCAACTCCTCCGACTCCTAAGGCTACCGTGCTCCACAACCATAGCCTACGTGCGGGTTTCTTGCTCGGCAGTGTCAACAGCTCTTCCACCTGCACGTGTTGGACATCATAGCAAGTGGGCCTTAAGCGATTGCTGATACACATGTTTACGTAAGTGTGCATGCCATAAATACTTTGTTGAATTCAAATACCTTGTTAGATATCTCAAGAATTTTTGCTACACCGCACTCAAAGTATGGTCTAGACAACACTCTAGCATTGGCTGGCAAAGCAGTTTAACGTGGTGCTAAGAAATGGGCTCGTCATCATAACAGACCCCCTAGACATAGCAACAACTTAGTGCCATAGGTCATAGTGAAGGTTTTCCTTACATTTATATCTTCTTCCCAATGCTTGGACATGCCAGAGAGGTGGCCTCTTCCAACCACAGCAACAACAGAGGAACGGCACTGTGCAACATTCCGAAGATTCGCCACCATGTACCTGGTTCATGTCTTCCATTTTCAATGACACGAAAGAGCTTTTGACAAAAACCCACAGATGAAACTATGACCGAAATTGCTTTAAGAAACCACTGCACTTACAAATGCCAATTTTCTTTCATTGCACAAACTGTCTATGAGGGAAACAAGACACGTAATGGAATGTATGCCATGGGCGAATTGTGTCATCAAAACGTCACATGCATTGGAGACAATAGTGAGTAGCAAAAACTCATTGCTTACAAGTCTCGCTCATTAACGAGGGTCTGCAAAAGAGTTGGAAAAGTCTTGCTCAACTCCTGAACCATCAGCGTCAGTTCGTCACTCTCGTCCATCTTCTCCAGCTAGCATCAACACAAGATTCACGACTTAGCACAACATTCACGACAAAGACAAATCCACGAAATGGACAAAACCTTGTATACCCACATCCCTCATAGTAGGATACATAAGAAGCATTCAGGGAGGTTACCAAAGCATGAAATTCTTCTGCACTTGGCATGTTGAAAGTGGCGGTCAACACGCTGAAGAGAAATTTTGTCTTGAGCCAAAGGCTCATGCTTCCCCAAGTCCTTTTTAGAGTGATCTGCGCAATCTCACAAAGGTTAAGCCTAAATAATATTTTGCACCCTCAACAAAAGTGAACTACTTAAGAAGCCGCACAACTATGGAACTGAAAAAATAATCTTAGTTTTCAAGAATAATCTAACATTTATACAAAAAAGAAGCTGACCAGAGAATTCCATGTACTAGACCTCAACCCCGCACCTGGACAGGACGATCTCCAAGTGTAACTGAAGCACCACATCTCACAGCCTCCTCGTATGCAACACGAAATTCCGTTCCAGGAAGAACCTCCAGCTTCTCACCCACCTTCCAAAGAATTGCTGAAGTGAGCTATATATATCAGGTTGAAGTAACATCAACATCTTGTAAATGATTGAAATTTAAGGGAGGCTTTACCTTAGCGAGAAACCAGCTGTACAGTAGACCAAACACATTCATTTCCTTCTTCTTGTATGACTCCAACATGCCGCTGACTGTTGGTACCTGAACCACAGGAACTTGTTACTCGTTTTGCATCCATGAGTTTAGATCTCACAAATAGCAAAATGACTTCCTAACCAACAAAACTGCATGTACTCATAGAAAATGTGAACCATTAAAAAGTTGTACACAGGCGCTGATTCTTTACGTGTTCCAAAACCTGAGGAAAAGAAAGTACCTTGTTCTTTCTGGGCAAAAGGATGTTCGTCCTACTTGAACACAGCTCTAGGAACACCACCTGAACATTATTTGAGGTGCAGTTCCAGGTTAGAGTTTAACATAACAAGATTACTTACATCACAACTCCAATCGCACTTGAGGTTGCCTTCAAATTGATCTATCAAAAACATCTGTACAACCAAGCGGTGAGAGAAGTAACGAAGTAAAAAAACGTTAAGTTGGGAACTTACATCTGGCTTAACATGCCTGATGAGAGCTTGAACTTCCTCACATGATGCCTTTGTAAAAAAAACTCCAAACGAGTTAGTGTGTCCAGATGTATCAAGCTCTTTCAAAATGCGGTTCTCAACTGAAACGTGTACCCAATTTTAAAACGTAAAACTTCTTCAACAGTCCTAAAGAATCAATCGCACTTCATCTATGATGGTATAATTTCTTACATTCAAAACGGATAATCTATGAAATGAAAGGACAAGATTCACCATAAGTCAATTGAGATGATGGTTCATAAACAAACCTTTGAGACATGGGCGGTACCAATGACGTAGACAAGGCACACACCATCATTTGCACTCGATTCAGCCTTCAATTGAAGAACGTTCTTTCCAGTTTCTGCTGGCAGCTGCTTTAAATTCGGAAGGTATTCAGCCTCTCCTTGAAGAGTAGAACTGATCGCGGTTTTGTCTAAATGAGGTTCTTCCCTGGCCTCGTTCTCAGCAATATTATGAAATACAGATTTGGGTCTAGGTTTGTTGTTCTCAGAAGCATTTGTTGAAGTACCTTGCACCGTGTCCGTTGCACTTTGAATGCCTTCTTCATGAGGTGAAGAACTTCCTTTTGAGGCATCTTTAACTCCAGACCCAAGTACCAATTCTTCCACGTGATCTCCTTCTTTGCTAACTTCCTCCCTGACACCCTCCAGTCCCTTGTCATGAATATGTTCTTCCAACTCACCACCTTCTCTCATGGCTTTCTGTGTACCATCTCCAACCCCAGCCCCAAGTTCCAGAACTTCCACGGCAACTCCTTCCCTGGATGCTTCTTCGGAGCATCGGGTTTCATCCGACTCTGTCGATGCGGCTACATCTGAGAGGCTGACGGCGCCTGCACTATCTGTAAAGGAATCACGTAGAATGGGGTTTTCTTTGGAGACTTCAGCATAAGTTCGGCACTTCTTTTTCTCACCTTCGTCAGCGTCGAGACGTTCCCCGTCATTAATATTCGTCATGGAATCAGGTACAGCGCGCTCTGCGCTAGCGACTTCGGCGTAGGTACGTCCCTCAGCTTCATCGCATCCTTCACTGTTAAGCCGTTCGGCGTCAAGGGTATATACTGAGGAATCAGGTAGGACGGGATCTGCGCTGACAATTTCAGCGTAAGTGAGTCCCTTCGCTTCAACAACTTCGTCAGATTGTAGACGCTCCGGTATCGTCACTGTATCAGAGGGGCTTCGAGCATTACTATCCTCGTTGCAGAGACTGACTATAGTTTTCGTAACCTCAGCCACAAATTTCTTCACATGTTCTTCTGTTCTTGGAGTTTCAAGCCGCTCCGGAGCCTCTGATGCTAAAGTCGAGGAGCTCGCAGCGTCAGTATCATCTGTCAGAGAATCAGTCCTAGAGAGGTCCGCACTGGCTGTGTCAGGAGAAAATTCCGTCCGATGTTCTTCAGGTTCTCCAATTTCAAGATGCTCCGTCGCATTTGCTAATTTTGAAGGAAATTCATTTTCACTCAAGTCTACTGAGATGTTGGGTAAATTGAGATCTGAACTAGTATCCTCCACCACATGGTTGCCCAGTTCATCGATGTCTCCACTTTCAAAACTCATCTCTTCAGCTCACGTAAGTCTCTAATATGTACCCCTCTTCAACACGCACACAGTACTTGCAGTAGCCGTATCAAGGATCGAACCCTATAAGAGCTATCTTTGCAGGTTTTTCATGTTTACAAACACGAGATGCAGGCTAATCTAGTCAAATGGGAATAATATGGGTGCAGCTTCAAATGACCAAATGATCAAATTCGCCTTCTGCAAACTACACGCCACCTAGCATAAGATGTAAGCGTCGCAATTCAGCCATCTAACTCTGATCAACTCCTCATACTCCAAAAAAGATGTAAAACTCTCGAATAATGACAAGAACGGATTTCACAAGAAGCAGCACACGATCCCCATCCAAGTTCCAGCGTCTGTGGTTTGATGTTTTTCTCGTCTAAGTCGCGGAGAGCGTCTTTGAACACGAATCCTAACATAGCGTCGAGCGAACTACAACTCTCTAAGGCGTGGTATGTTACGCACAACAAAGGACAATGACGAGTGACAACAGCCTATGCGACAACACTTAATGTAACAATAATCGCGTTATCTATCATATCCAATTGGAAGAATCATTGTTGCAAACGCGTCGTTGAGAAAATGTCATCTGGACGAAGGGTACGCTAAAATTGGAAATACCAAAACTGCAGATACCAGAATCGACATACCTCTAAACAACGCATTTCCAGAATCGACTCAGGCATTAACCAGAAATGCCCTGCATTGACCGTGCCTCTAAACCTCCAATAAACCCTGCTGCTTTCAGAAAAAGAAAAAGGATGCTTACGAGGTTGACATACCAACAGTATAGTCTATCTTGAAATCATGGCTCAGAGGAAAACAGGACACAGGACAAGAATAAGCCAGATCAGACATGGATGGTGGCACACAAGACACCCCCCTCGACATACGAAATCCTCCAAACCAGAAGACTAACATTTAGACATCTAATTTTTTTTTTTTTTGAGTCTAAAGCCATGTCATCTACAACATTAGTGTTAATTTGCTCGGTGTTCAAGCTACGCAAAATCCTCTCCTATCCAACCTATCTCTTAAACGTGAGACTAGTAAGTCTGCCAACGTGAGATTAATTCAGCCACTATTCCAGTACACATCGCACGAGATGATTACGATTACAACAAATGGCAACAACAACAACAGCAACAACCCCAGCTGAGGCGACACATTTTCCCTTCACACTAATCCTTCTTGTTCAGCTTACACAATTGAGCCGTACACTTCGCAAGCGAATCTACTTACCGTAAAACTCCCAAAACCCGATCTCAACTTCATCGAGACTACTACAATCTCGTGTGAAAACCAAAAAAAACATACACCGTTCAAATCAACACACACAAACTTCGCAATCGCTTCCGCAAGTACACTAACAACCCCACTCAAACGCAGCCCCGGAAAATAAAATAGTACCACTCAGAAAGAAAAAGAAAAGACACTCTTGCAGATAACTTACAATTGTACCTTACCGAGGAACTCACGCTTGCCGCGACTGCTCCGCCGCGTAGGGTACAAGGGCGAAAATGCGCTCAAGCTGTTCCACGAAAACGTGCAATCGCCAAGAAAAGAACCCTGCCTGATGCATTCAAATGCTTCCGTCGTCCTTGCGAGGGTTCTAAGAGAGGGGGGTCACGCGTGGACGGCATTCGCAGATTGAACGAACGTCGTTCGGCCAGCGGACCAGTTTCGCCGTCGTGGCGAGTTGGGTTCATCTCCGTGGATGAAGCTTGGTCGATGACGGCCAATTCAGTGGGGTTGGGCAGGATGGGTTTTGGAGCTAAATGCCAAGTGTGGCGAGTCTGGGTTTAGGGATTGCTAACGAGGACGGAAGAGATGAAGGCGGGCAGGAAGAATTTGAAGCGGGACGCGTTGCTGAACGGAGTTGAGGAGCCGACGGCGGGGCATGTGTTGATGCGCGTGGTAGGATTGCGGGGCGGCAACATCGTTGAGGCGGAGAACGCTGCGGGTGAGAACACTCTTTGTCTACTCCCTGCAAAGTTTCAGAAAACCATTTGGGTAAAGACCGGCACGATTGTCATTGTGGATGAGGCGGACAGGGAGAAAGCGATCGAGGCCGGAAGCAAGGTCACGGGGACTGTCACCCGGGTTCTGCTTGAAGATCAAGCGCGGGCTCTTCGGAAATCAGTGTCCTGGTGGCCTGAGTCTTTTAAGGATGAGAGAGTGGCTTCTAAAGATGCCAAGGGGGAGAGTGCTGTAGTTTCAAAGGCTAAGGATGTAGGAGGGGACGGCGATGGAGGAGAATCTGGTGAGGAGAGTTGTGAGAGTGACGATGACGGTTTGCCGCCTCTTGAAGCGAACTTGAACAGAAAACATGCCATGAGCACGTATGAGTATGTAGATTCAGATGATAGTAGTGAAGAGGAGGATTCTGGGCTTGAGAGTACCAAGCGTACACACTCATAGCTCTAGATGTGTTTCCGTGCTAGGCTGCTCAAATTTGTGAAAAATATATCCCCTGAAATTCTTTGCCAGTTGATAATTTAGGTGTCTGTGTGCTCACATTATTTTTGTAGTGCGATGAGTGATTGTGTCTCTCGATGTTATGATTCTGTTTTCCTCTAATATTTGAAAGTTGTTTGCTGAGTTTTCTGAGCCTTGAACTTTAATCGATGGTATCCAGATATCTTTAGCTGCTTGTTCTCGAATGATGGAATCGATCCTATGAATTTGCTCATACCTGTGGAGTAGGGCTAAGGTCCTCCAAATGCACTCATCTCACAGGAGTCGTCTAAATTCTCATTTTAACCAACCCTTTCCGTTGACCTACTGCGTTATTGCTACATTGCTACAGAAATCCAAGGCAAGAAGACGAGCATCCAAGCTTCGATAGTTCATCCTAACCAAGGATTCAAGTGACGGGTCCCTCTTTGCGTCTGCACCCTAAATTTGCACTTTCACCCTAAATTTCATGAGGCACATAGGAGCCTCAATGGCATGAAAGAGACCCAGAACAAAGAGCAAATTAATTTAAAACATCAAAGAACGTATTCAAACAAACAAAGACGAAGACGCTATGGAGAAGCAGGAAGAAGTAGAGGCTGACGAACTGGGTTGGCAGGACAAGGTTCATGTCATGAGCGACGTGCATGTTGGCTGCGTACCTAAGGTCACATCGTGTATGACCATTTTCTGCATTGCTCAACCCGTCTCAGCTCCCAGCGGTATGTGTACGGACAACATTTCAGATAGATTTGTGTAAACCATTGAACCGGATCACGCTCCACTGCGCATATTACCTGTGGAAGTTGATACCATGATGCCAAAGGTCTAGCTAATGGATAGTTGGCTGATTGCATTTCATTTCAATTTTATCTTAACGTAGACAAGAGTCGAAATCCCCAGTTCATATAGCATGGTGGAGGCTGTGAATATGTGGATCTTTGCAAATTCTACTATGCTGTAACCAATTGTTTTCTTTAAGTTACTGCATACTTGTATTTCATTCTCGTAAAAGTTTCGAATCTGCTGCATCGCAGATTATTTAAATGATTTGTGTTCCAAGCCCTTATCTCTTGTAGACACTAAGAAAACTTACTGGTTTACTGAAGTTTCCTGCTGTAATTGTACTTTCAAGTTCACTTTTAGAATCCACCTGAGATTACGATTACTTCAGGAAATTTGAACAGTATATCTGCTAAGAAGGATGAAGTGCTCAGGTCTACTATGCCTCTTCTGAGATTTCCAATTTTAGCTCAGGTAGTGACAACTGCGCCAGAAAGCGATGGGATCCAGAAACTTGCTTCGAAGAACGAGAACTGAAGAATGTCGAATACGAGGGTGATGGTTGTGTCGGCAATATTGGTGCACATGATGATAACGGTGATCTGATTCTTCTAAGGCGACCCAAAAGGCACCGTCGCATCCGGAGTACGGTCCATCAATTCTGTTCGAGAACTAATGTCGGTCGGATTGCAAGATGTGCTTGTGTGCTTTGTAGGACATGTGCTGACATGGTTTAAGGCTTCCGAAGTTAAGGCAACGTGCAGTGATTGTTTGATAAAGAAACAAAAATAAATAAATAAAAACCGCCTCAGATTTTTGCTTACATTACATGCAGGCATTACGAGTCAAGAAGCAATCACCATTTATCATCAGCTGACCACACCTCTTCCTACCGTGGGCCTCCAGGTGTGGTGGCCAAATTTTGATCTGGTGCAGTAGTTGTTGCTAGTGCATGCTATGTGCCACCTTTTGACTATTGAATGTAGCTGCGACCAGCACTTTTAAATTTTTTGAAGAATAAAAGCTATGGTCTCTTTACTGTGTCTCCATTCGTGCAGATATGGAGGGGAGCTTTGCTACTTGCAGACTTTATTTTGGACACTCAACGATCTTCGCAGCTATTCCATGATGTAAATGCTATAGAACTTGGTGCAGGAACAGGTAAAGTTGACAGTGTTTACCTTTTTCATGGACTATTCCATTTATATTAAGGAGCAGTTCTGTTACTTACATTTTATCGTGGTAGCTCACTTTCTGTCCTCTCTATAATAAATGCCAGATGTTAAACTGTACGCTAAGCATTATCATGTGCACAATGTCTTCTATAATTCAATAGATGCAGTGTTCAGTGTGCTTCATACTTGTCATTTCTGCACTGTAGATGTATTGATCTATCAATTGGGGATTGAGCGTGCAGGGATAACAGGGATTGTGATGGCCAAAACTGCTAAGAGAATCTTCATAACTGGTCAGATGCACCAAACTGAACATTCTAGATAGTTGCTATTCTATCGTGTTTCCAAGTATGGGGATCAAGACCTTTAGTCTTTCTATCACTTGTTGTTCTGAATGGCCTGATTTGGGTACAGATAGGGATGCGGATATATTAGACAATTGTACACGCAATGTACTGGCAAACTCCAGTTTATGTCCTAATGGTGAAGGGAGTGTGCAAGTCCGAAAGCTTGATTGGCTTCAGCCTTGGCCACCCGTAGCTTCCTGCGATATTGAAGATAGAGGCGAACAAGAAGTCGTATGGTGGACTTTATTCTCTGCGTTGACAAATTTGTTTCTTAGTATTTTTATTTTGATATGAACAGGTTGACGCTGTTTCAATTACCTGACTTCCGCCTATTTTTTTTTTTTTTTTTTTTTTTTTTTTACTAATGACGATTTGAAGCCGCATTATTTTAGTAGCGTGTGCTTTTAAAAGAATTCCAAGAGGAAATATAGTAATTGTGAAGAGAGTTTCTTTGCCAGGGATGAGACTGCTTACTTTTGGAGTGATGAAGACTTGGAGGATGCAAAAAGTGCTAGTGTGCTTCTCGCTGGGGATGTGGTCTACAGCCCAGAACTCACAAAAGCATTTTTTGAGATTCTAGATAAAATTATGGCTTTTGGTTCGAAAAAGGTGATGTACTTTCTCAAAGGCTCAAAACAATATGCCCTGGCTAGAAAGCGATAAGTTTAATACCTGATTCCTCAATTTAGTTAACTTAATAGTCTGAATGCTCGAATTTGTGGTGGTTGAGAGGGCTTGGATTGGTGGTATTATCTGAGAAACCAAGAAAATGATAAACATAGTAAGTGAACTGTATATATTCATCATTATCACTTGCTTTTTCTGACTTTCCTGACCTTATGTAATGCACACGGGTAAGCTTCTATCCTTTCTTATCAGCCATTAGAATGTAGCATTTAAATCGTGACAGTTTTCTTTCTGAAAGAAATGTTTCGTTCTAACCTTTTTGTGAACGAACATACACACAGACGTTGTTCTTGACTTTGGAAAAACGTTTCAACTTCAGCGTGGATGAGCTCGATGTTGTCGCTCATGGCTACAATCACTTTCGATCTTATTTCCATATCAGAGGTTCAAGTCACCACTTTCGTTCTTCATTTTAAACTCTTGGTAGAGCAGTCTTAGTTCTACACGCCACTGTTAACTATGAATGCTGCAAGAAAATACGGCGCTCATTTGATTGACTTTTAGTCTTGTTATACGATAAGAAGTTATCAAATGCAAGGTACATGCAGTTAGTATCTGAATGCAAATGATGTATTTATGTGTGTTTAATGTATTCTCACAATGTATTTGGAATAGAAGAAGGTTAAGTACGCGTGCTTTATATATATATATATATATATATATATAGATGTGTGTGTGTGTACGTCAATCTAGATATAAGGAGTGAACGTATAAGTAGTGTAACTGCCCTGGTTGTAGTCTTAGTACTAAACGTTGAAATGGTGCATAGTATCTTGCTGTAGCACTTGCCTGTTTGTTGCAAGGAACAGCTCACCAATCTTCTCTAATGCACTTATGTGCAGGGGCTTGCAAGGGGCTTACTTTGCAAGATGCATCTGTTCCCAACAAACCCCAGTGGAAGTTTGAAGGAAGGAAGATTCCGACAGAGCAGGTGCAGAAATACATCGTTGAATATGAGAGAGGGAAGGATTTAGAATTGTGGGAGATCACGAGGTGTCAATGCCAGGAACAATGTGATAAATCTTACTGAGGGCACCTACTTCGTTAGACGACCTCTGTGTGAGGCGGATAGAATAGTAGGTAGAATTTGGTATGTAAATTCGTTCAATATCAAGGTTTTATTAATATGTGATGTGTGTGATATTATTACAATATGTTACTCTATCTAATAGTTGTCACATGAAGTGACATTGGGTGGTATATCTAAAATATGAACTTAAAAAATATTTGACAATTTGAGAGAATTATACTTATTAGACAGAAACTGTTGAATAAATTTAGCAATAGATGAAATTGAAATGGATGGAAAATTGCCAAATGACCTTGGTAATGGATGAAATTGTGACAAACGAAAAATTGCTAGATGATCTTGAAATGGATGAAATTTCAATGGACAGAAAATTGCTGGATGAGATTAACAATAGATAAAACTGTGGGGCTTACAAGTGCAGCTAGTTGCTCCAAACTCCAAATTGATACAATAATTTGTTTTCTTCACTTCATATCTCTTCCTTTTTTTCTCCAATTTGAGCAATTCCAAATCCTACTTTGTTTATTTTGATATAAAAAATGCAACCAAAGCAATCCCAAAAGTAGTAGATACAAAATGAAAAATTTTACTCTTTGATTTTACTTGTATCTTAAATCTTGAGAATATCTTTGTTGTATATATTCTTGTTTGGTTTTGATTTCATATTTGATATTGATTTGAACTACTTGATTTATTATGATGTATAGTAGTTATTTACATGACATAGTGCATATAGTAATTGAATTTTTTTAATACTTAATTCAATATAAGATATGTTTAATAAATAAAAAATTGCTTTGCATGTATAAAAAAATAATAAGTTTCAACTAGTGTACCTCAATTCTCTCTCTCTCTCTCTCTATATATGTATATATATATATATATATATTTCTTCTATATATATAGATATTAATTATAAGTTAGAAGATAATAATGAATTTAAATTTATTTATTTTATATAAATTTTTGGTTATTTATTTATTTTAAAAATAATTATACTAAAAAAATACTAAATTAATGTGACTTATACTAAATTTTATATTATTAGATTTTTTTAATTTAATTAAATTTATAATTAATAAAAAGTTACTAAAGAAATTAATTCAATTTTTTAAAATATTACTAAAAGAAGAATAAAATAATTTATATATTTTTTTAAAACATAAAAAAATTGAATCAATGTTGCAAAGTTCAAAAGTTTGTTGAATCTTGAATCAAGATTGGAGTATAAAAGGCAATGAAAAGCATAGGAATGCTCTTAATCTTATCTTTATATATAAAAAGCAACAAGAAAGATGGAAGCTTTCTAAAAACTATAAAGATTATAGGACAAATGTTTAATTTATATAATACTTTTAAAATTGATTTCTAGAAATAAGAGGTTTCTTAGAGAAGCTTTGTTCTCACATATCACAATTTTCAAAACAATTTATGTTAAAGATGTTCTTTTGATATTTTTTGAAGAACAAATTATCTATTTAATCTTTGTCTATTTACTTCTACTTATTTTTAATTTTAAAATTAGTTTAGGCATTTTGTGATAATAATGCATATAAAAGCATTTATATATATATATATATATATATATATAGTAGCATTAGTTGTTACTTTTTAAAATTTATAAGTAATATTTTTAAGCAAGTTTTTGATGCATAGTTATGTACAATGTAATAATAAATTATTGTATAAAATTAAAAAATAAATAATTTAAATGTTTCAAAAAATACTAAAAAACACACATACAATCACACACACACACACACATATACATATATATACATATCTCCAAAGGAATGTTAAATAGATCTAATCTTTTATTGAATTGACCCATTCATCCTAACCATCATGAAAGAAAATGACCTCTAGATTCATTTCTCTACTACTAGATCCAAAACTAGTGAAAATCAACCATATTCATCATGATTACCATGTTCTTTATCATGAAAAGGTCAATTTTGTAACAACTTAGGTCTATTTAATATTTTCCTATATATATATATATAAAATTAAATTACAAATAAGTTATAAAATAGTAAAATAATATGAATATAATTTTACTGTAGCTTATGATCTAAAGTTGTAGTGGTTTTAAAGCTCTTATTCTTTTAATTTGTATTTAATTTGCTATAAATTATATAGATGGATCATAGTCATTAAAAAGAATAAAAATAATCAATTAATAAAATAATTGGTGAAATAGTATTAGAGTATCTTCTTTGCTGAAAATTTGAAAATAAAATACAAATCGTATAAAACTTTCACAAAAGATGGTTGTCAATTGAAACTTAGTAAGTAGAGTTGGTGAATATTGGTTATTTTTGTTTTTTAATTTTAATTTTTTTCATCAAGAATGTAAATCAAATTTTTTTTCGTCATAATTATCATATTCTTCATTTTAGTAAAAAAATGGGTCTATTTAAAATTATTTTATATATATATATATATATATATATATATTAATACATACATTTTTTTTATTTTCCTTTCCACAATTTAAATTTAAAGAATAAGACATGAGAATCAATTTTCATTTAAAACATGGAAACATGGTTGAAATTATACGTATTGTAACACTTGTAACTTTTAAGCTAAAAAAAAAAAAAAAACCACAAGTAAAAACATCATGTCTATGTTATAGAAAGTGAATATTACCTGTAATATCATTATACTTGGTATTGATTTCTTTGTTCTAAACCACAATACAAAATTCATAAAATATATATACAAATACACTTCAATCGTTTTATTTGATTTCATCGAGTGACACAAGTTTCGCAATGTAGATCCTAATACCCAACATAGCATGGAAAAAAACCAAATTATATTTGGTGACGATGTTGTAGAACAAGGGAAGAGGGAGAAACATTGTCACTGTGTACCTGGTTACCAGCGCAGGCAAGGCACTAATCACCAACCCATGTGTGCCAGCTAGGACAGAATCGCATGGTGGACAACGTGGACAACACTCCCCCCCCTCCCTGAACCATATCCCGACCACTGGTCGCTGCTTCTCACCCCTCTGCTGCATGATTCGGCTTGCACACCGGTTCTCCCTCTTGGATCCCCACCATGCTCCTCCTAATCGCGCCTCCCATCTGGCAGTTGGGGACGTCGCGACCGATGGACGGGGCCGGCGTTAGGCGCGCCGGTGGGGGGGGGGGGGCACAGAAGCAGGAGGGGGCCTTCGTCATGGCGCAGGCTCGAGCCCCATTTCGGAAGGATCGGAGGGAAAGCTTCGAAATGCGGTTGGAAGCCATTCGTGTTGCGCTCCTTGTGACCATAATCGCCGCAGGTGCTGTCGATTTGCGTTTCTATGTATGTCAGAGAGAGACCAGGGACCTTTAGAAGCGGTGATGCAGGGCAGAATGATTTGAGGTCCAGGGCGGGGGAGGGGAGTAGTGACGCAGGAGCCGCAGATAGCAGTGACCCCGGGGAGCGAGCCGAGGTTCGGCGTTTTACGGGAGCTTCGATGCGTAGGTGGCAGCAGGCTGCGGATGCGCCATCGTTGTTTACTAGGGCTGTCGGATCCGTGATTAATCTGGTTCGCGTGGCGGAGTTTGAAATTCTCTTCATCTCCCTCTTTGTCCTCGCGGTTTTGCTATTCAAGGACTTGGTACGCTCTCCTCCTCCTTCTCCCTTTTTTTCCGATTGATCATTGCGTGTGTGCTTTGGTCTGTGTGTCTCGTCCTTTGTCGAGGTTTTAGGTCACCAATTATCTTCATTTTGTCGCGGTTACGTTTGAAGCTGGGCAGTTACTTGCTCCTACCTTTGCCCTCTGTCGTATGGTGGTTTATAGGTTCCGTTTGAATAGTTCAGTATCTGACTTTAGCTCAGTTGAGTTCAATGTTGTTTCATGGAAACAGTTCAGCAGATGTCGCAATTGTCTTATCTTACTACCAATTTATACTTTTGAAGCTTAGTCAGGCGCATTCTCTCACGTGGTTGATGTGTGTGTGTTTTTTATTTTATTTTATTTTAATATTTAGCTATTTATCTTGTGAGTAGCGAACGGGGTGTTTACGTACACATCGCTCTTATACATGAATTCGATTACACAATTTCTGTTGTATTGCCAATTTTTGAACGTCACTGCTGTTCACTTCTTAGTTCGTTGAGGCCTGTGATTATACTTTCCTACTCAGGTCGTATGACCTCACTCATGTTCGTGCTCTTCAGGGTTGAGATGGAAAACCGATGTGTGTGTATGAAATGATGCCTTGACAAATCACAGTTGCATAAACCTTGGTCGGAATTAATCTTTTTGTCCTAGATGAATCGTTGGGCATGCAGTCTATAATCCTGAGTATATGTAAGTTTAGAATGTCATAGACCTTTCTTTCTGTTGACATAAGTGTTGTGGACTACTCTGTAACCTAGTGTTGGAAACTATACTTGTGAAAAAGAGTGCTGAATTTGTGAGTTATAAGCATTCACTTGTGTTTGATGCTCTTACCATTCTTAAGTAGACAGGGATCATTATTGTTAGTGTCATTAGGTGAACAATTGCTTATTATTTTAATTTTATGCTGAGCAGACTGCTCGCCCTGAATACAATCAAATTTTGTTTCAAAGGCGGTTAGAACCCGAACAAATTCGACTCTACTGATTCACAATATGTTCAAGAACACATTTCAGTCAGGATTCCTGTCCATTTTTTACAGTCTTGGGTAAGTTAAAAATTATTCTCGATTATTTGTTTAAATCCTTTATCATAGATACCACTGAATTATCCACGGATCCTGTCGTCTTTGTTCCACATGCAACATACTTGCGTGCATACTGACGCCTATGATTGGTTTCACTTCTAATTTAGGATTTCGATTGTAGCATTGGAGTTGTAATTAATTTGACTGACATGGTATAATCTGACTGTAACATGCGATCAGGAGCAAGCCATTGCAGATCTGGGACAAGGAATGTAAGTCTCTTTTTTTCAGTGTATTATTTTTTGCTAATTGATTGATTTATTTTTTACCGCTACTTGTGGTAGTTTTCCGTCTGATTCATTAATGTTAGCCAAGTAAGATCGTTGTGTCTTACCTAAATATTCTACATTATCAGAACTTGCGTGACGTTGATTTGCGGCGCACTTCAGGGGTCTCTGAATCGTGTGTGTTTGTGCAGCTCAAAATGGACATATCAGAAGAGTTTCTGATGAGGATCTTCAGTCCAGTGTTTTGGAGATTATGGGCTCAAATGTGAGTAGCAACTACATCAGTTGCCCAGCTGATCCTCGGCTGACGCTTGGTATCAAGTTGCCTATTTTGGTGATGATCATCAAGAACATGAAGAAATACTTCTCTTTTGAAGTGCAAGTGCTTGATGATAAAAACGTTCGCCGCCGATTCCGTGTATCAAATTATCAGGTTTGTTGAACGTATAAGAATTGCAAGTATGTCTTCTAATACGACTTTTATTTTGCACGAGAATGTGCCTTTTAGTTCATACATTGCAATGTAGAAGATTATCCCAATTGCATTATACCCTTGAGGGACTGACGTGCTGCAGAAAGTTTCACCCTTCATGCATGTTGACGACAGTTCTTGATCAGACTTCTAGTATAATTGCATTATCAACATGTCTAAACCTTTCAATTTCATATGAAGCGTTATGTTTGTGCAGTCAGTCACACGAGTGAAACCTTACATCTGCACTATGCCCATGAGGCTGGACGAAGGTTGGAATCAGATTCAACTAAACCTTGCAGACTTCACAAGAAGGGCGTATGGTACCAATTATGTGGAGACTTTGCGGGTGCAAATACATGCCAATTGCCGTGTCCGACGCATCTACTTCTCCGATCGGCTTTACACGGAAGAAGAACTTCCTCCTGAATTCAAAATTTTCTTACCTATCCAAGTAAGTGGATTTTCTTTTTTCTTTTTCTCTTTTTCAGTCCCGGATTTATGCAATTTTGATTATACTTGGGTCATCATTTGAAACACATGGTTATGTGCTGATTGATTAATTGATTGATTAATTGATTTTATCTGTTTTATTCATTTTTTTCCTGCAGAAAAGCTGAAGGAACTACTTATGATTGCTTCGGTGCACTTCATTTTTGACCTACGCTTTTGGGAATCTTGTCCAATATCCAATGCATATCAAAGTCAGAACAGGATGGTCAAGGTCTAAAAGAGTTCGGAGAGACATGCCCCTTTTTTGACACTTGCGGCTACTCCTGAGTGCTGCCAACTGCACACAAACCTTGTAAATCATTTATGTGAGCAGCTGTCTGCTGGCAGCCTTTATTTATTTTTGTTTTTTTTTTTGCTTCTAGTAATATCATCGCTAATATTGTAGTTGCCGTGTTGCATTATGCACTTCATTTTTGTATCTTCGTTTCTGGCAGACCACGTGGTGTCTGCAAGGTTTCTGGAGATGGTCTTTAGTTTAATACCTCGTGGTGGCATGACCCAGTTTGGGTTCAACGAAAGTTACAATCCAACGCAGGCAACAGGAGTTACTTATCGCTTAAGGAACGTACAGCTACATTTTTTTGTCAAGTTGTGACTTATACTGATCTGCCAAACCCACCTCTTATGAGACTCATGAGCTACATTTATACTCGCACGTCTGGACAGGAATCATCTTCTGTCAACTGTCCCGACGCTGCAGACTTATCGCGTAAAACACACGTCGAGCACGAGTTCGACTGAAAGAATTGTCAACGAATTTACGCAGCGGTGATGCGATGGAATGCGGGGAACTTACTTCAGTGATCGACCAAAGGGCTGCATGATTCTCTGCGGAGACGAGCCTTGATTTCAACTGCAATGGTTCAAAATCCTGTTTGTCGGAGCCTTTTGTATACTGAGGTAGCAGGTTCATGAGCAGGCTCAAGCAAGCCAACTTTTAATCAAAAAATTCTTTTGCTTCAGGTGGAGACCGGCGCACTTCAATCTAATGGAGCTAATGCAACAGCAGCTATAATTAAATCAACTACATGTTAAAGAATAACTTGTAATTGGCTCTGGAAAGAATGTGATGCATTGATGAAAGTAAGAATAATTTATTTTACAAAATTTGTATACAAATTAACGAGCAATATTAGAACGCAAACGCTACAATAATAAACTGGCTTTAGCTATCCTGAAATATATTGATTTACGAATTTGCAAGTCATTGGACTTGAAACCATAGCAATAGAGATAATAATTCTTTACAGCCATGTGTGGTAAAACTGTTTTAGAATTTGGCATGGTTCCAATTGTGTCTAATACTTTTTTGCATTTGTAAATTTGTTTCACTAGCCTAGATTGAGATTTAAACAACCTAATTTTGATTTGTTTGATTTTTAAAATGAGATTGTGGAATGTTTAGGTTTGAATATAAAACATTTTATGGATTTTTATGTTGCAAAAGTAGAGAAACACGAAATGTTGCAAAGAATAGCTTATAACCAACTTGTAAATCCCACAAGCATTAGAAAAACTTTCAACAAAAGATCATGGAAGTTTTGGAAGAATAATGCTAAGTATTTTGGCAAAAACTAATAAGGGTCATGTTTGAAAAGTGTTTGTTGGTTGATTACAATAAGAGCTATACAAGTTTCTTGGTAAGAACACAACCTTGCAAAATTACTATAGATTTACATACAATGACAATTGAAACAACATTCTTACAATTTTTTTATTAATTATATATTTTGTGGATTATTTGCCTTGTATAGCAAATTTTGAGATATAGTCATTATAATTGGAATTTGTTATAGATGGTTCAATTTTTTGGAATAAAATTATTGAAAGGAATTTCTTCTATTTTAAAATTGATTTTGAGGAAGTAATATGTAAAATTTTAATTCTTTCTTAATATTAAAGTATATATGGTATTTTTCCTATTCAATCATAAAATCCCATCTTTGATTCCAAAGTAGCATAAAGCTAAATTATGTCACATAAATCAAGAATATCTCATATTTTGACTTGGATTACTAATTTTTTTTGGATTAATTTAAGGTAGTTATATTATCAATAACAATTAGGCTAGGCAAAGTACTTGATGAAGATAAAGAAAATAACAGAGCTTAAGAGCCCCAACTTTATATGGCAATAATAGTTAGGATTGAGATGAGACTGAAAGTAATAATTGTTAATTCTATAATGCTTATAAGCTTATAAGATAATAGTAGGAAAATTAAAAATCAAAATAAAAAAATCACAATTACAAGCTTCATGTTTACTACAAGAGATTAAAAAGAGATTGTTTGTATAAGTGGATTGCAATTAGTTGTAGTCTTAATACAAAAAAATAAAAATTCAAGATGAACACAAAATTGCAACATAGATATTATTTAAGGAATATTACAAAAAATGGTGACAAAAAATTATAAAATCTTGCACCACAAAAGAAAATATAAATAAGAGTATCAATTTTAGCAATAAATCAATACTAAATTAAAAAAATATATTTAAGAATAAATTATTCAATTCATTGGATAAAATTATGGCAAGACAATAAGTGATACTTATTTAGGATTTCAACAAATACTTTTTTCACAAAGCTACTAAATTGAAAAAATAATTCAAATCCAAGAAGATTTATGTTTTGGATTGTGATTGTCAGGAAAAATGATTGCAAGACTTTCTATTAGTATTTTCTACATCTTTAAAAACCAATTGTAATTAGAGCTAATAGCTGTTAAAATATTTAATACTTTATAAAAAATAAAAAGATGTTATAATATCATTGAAATTAGAATTGAATAGATATATGAAAATAACAAAGCATCAAAAATTATAATATGAAGCTAGTGCAAGTAGTTTGATTAGAAAATGTGATGAAAAAATGATGAAAAAATGAACCATTAGTTTAGAAAATTATTTGAAATAAAGTTTTCTTTTTTAAAAAATAGAATTTTTAAATGATTATAAAAAGTGGCATATTATTGCTTCTTTAAAAATATAAAAATATTAAATTTCTAATCTAAATTTTTAGTATGATAAATTTATAATTTCTGGTAATAGAAATCTAGATCTTTATTTATAGAAATATAATGAATAGATTTCTATTAAAATATGGAATAAAACGAGATAACTTAATTTTTTCTAATTTATATATTATTATTATTAAATAAATTATAAATATTATCTTTTAAAATAGATTTGTAAATGAAAATTTATAAGAAACTTTATTTCTATAAAAGAAAAGACTAAGAAAATATTAAATTAATATTAAAATAGTTCTACTTTAATAATAAAATTGAAAAAAGTTCAATGGTAATAATAATTAATCTTCTATAAAATTTTAGCATTTCTTTTAGCTTAGAAAATATTTAGTCCAAATCCTTAGAATGGCAACAATTTAATTTTATTCTTGTACCTATTTTGTCAAAGATCTGAATCTCAGCAAAATTCTAGGAATAAAAAAAACATTCTTATATCACCAAAAGAGAGAAATTAGAAGATAGATATAGAATTGAAACTAGAATGATTATAAACAAATTCAAAAATATTAGGAAGACTTGAATTAAAATAGAATACAAGAAAGTTGTTGAAAAGATTAAAGAAAGTTTTACTCTTACCTCTATATATACTATCTACTAGAAAACTATATGGAAATGTCTTAGAGGCCATATGACACATGTCCAACTTGTAAGACATGTGTCTAATTTATAAGACAAGTTTTTGACATGTATACCACATGACCAACTTGTAATATAAGTAACTAAATGTACAACATGTAGCCAACTTATTAGCTAAGATGTCAACCTACCAATCACTTCTAAATATATATAAAGTCTACAAAGCCTCTAAAAAGTTTTTCAACAAGATATGAACAATTTAATATACTTCTACTTACTTCTATTTATTTCTACTTAGTTCTACTTATCTAAGTAAATATATTAGTGAATATGACTATCTATTAAATATATAGGCTATTAATAATAATATGTTAAAACTTCATTATTATTTTTTATTTTTTATTTTTTTTATTATTTTGATGCCATAATCTAAATTCAAGATATAAGTCAATTTTTGATGAAGAGATTAGAGAGAAAACTTAATTATTAGTATTTATTTAAAATTAACCTAATAAAATAAACTATTATCATTAATTTTTTTATTATATATATTTTATTTTATTTTTAATATGGAAAAGATAAAGAGAATAATAAGACTTCAATAAGCCATAAAAAGATAATGATAATAATAAGATTTTTTTATGAAATAATATTTAATATATTTTTCAAACTAAAGTAAATTACAATGTATGTTGCAAACTAATATAGACATGTGATCTTAGAATTGTTGATTTTTATATAGTATTAAAAATATTTCTACATAAACATATAATTTAAGTGCTATATCTAAGTAGTATTAGTTTTTAAACTCTCTTAAAAATATTGACTTATAAAGACATCATTTAAAGCTACTATTAAATGGAATTTGGATTCTAAATAGATTTTATGACCTAATTATAAATAAAATAGGGATTCTAAAGTATAGCTTGGAATTGGCCATGCATAATAAAGAATAGTTGGTAATTAATATAACAACACTCTCCTATTATTGTTTGAGGTCTTTGTATTAGATTATTTCTTTTAGGTAAATGATGCAATCTAAATAATTTGGCCTTATTTATGATTTGGTATTCCATACATAATAAAAGTTAAAATATTCTAAGTAGGTGCATAAATAAGGTTTTTATATTAGAAGATAGTATTTTTAAAAATATTTTATTCTTCATATTTTGATATGAATCTTTTTTAGTTTAAAAGTACATATAATATTATCAAAGTAATAAAATAAATTTTTATATATAAAAATAATCAAATTTTTTAAAGAAGATAAGATGATTTTTTAGTATTTTTTTAGTCTATAATTTTTATTTAAAAACTTACTAATTAAAAAAAGAATTAATATTATGACTTAATTTTCCAAAATAAATCATGAATTCTTAATTAAAAATAATAAGTGTTATAGAACTTGATTGCTTCTAAATGCCAAGATCATTTGAATATTCAATATAATATGATTAGAAAGAGATTTGGTTTTGGCCTTAAGTAAGTAAGGATGCTATGTTAATTTGATTGATCTTTTATAAGAGGATTGAAACATATATTTAGAAAACAAAAGGTAACAAAGACCTTAAATTCATATTAACTATGCATACTAAGCCTTCTTAAGATAGTATTTTATAGATTTCGAGACCACCTCTAAATCTAACATGAATGGAATTGGGTAATATCTATTTTCTATAAATTAGCCACAAGTCTTAGATGTTTGAGGCATTAGAAAGCTTTTCCATCAATACAAACAATTTATGCTTTAGAAAAGTTCAATAAATTCAAGAATTTTAGAATGATATAATTAATACCTTGAGGCCCTTGTCTT